AGCTTCTTGCATTGCAAACATTAAAAATTTTACAAAAACACTTCTAAAAACTTTCTTTCCGAACTAATACACTAAACCTCCACTAACTTTTTACTTATCCTACTCTTTACATACCAATAAAATAACGCAATTTTTAAATGATCATATTCGAAAGGAGTTTTGGCAATTCATATCTCAGAGAGTTGCAAAAAAAAGTTTTTCTGTCAAAATTGCTTCAAATCTACTGGACCAATTAAGTTGAAATGTATAGGGTTGTTTGGAAAGTCATTTCGTTTTTTTTTTTGTGGAAATGAAAGACAGTTTTCGTATAATAAACAAATACATTATTAAATTATATATTGACCGTTCTGGTCCAACACCTTTTGCCATCTTTCTGGTAGTAGCATAATTCCACGCTCATAAAATTTTTGGTCTTTGCTGGCAAAAAACTGATCGAGGAGGTTTTTGACCTCCTCATTTGAGGTGAAGGTTTTACCGTCTAAAAAATTTTGGAGTGACCGGAACAAATAATAATCCGATGGTGCCAGGTCTGGAGAATATGGTGGGTGTAGCATTGTATCCCATTCAAGCTGTAAAAGCTTTTGGCGAGTGACCAAACTTGTGTGAGGTCTCGCGTTGTCTTGGTGAAACACTACACCTTTCCTGTTGATTAGTTCTGACCTTTTCTGTTGAAGTGCATCATTCAGTTTGTCCAGCTGATGACAGTAGACTTCCGAATTAATCGTTGTGTTATCCGGTAAAAGCTCAAAAAAAACGATTCCTTTAAAATCCCACCAAACAGACAGCATCACCTTTTTTTGGTGAATATCGGCTTTGGAAATGGTTTGAGCCGGTTCATCTTTTTTGCTCCATGACCTCTTGCGTTTGACGTTGTTGTATACAACCCATTTTTCGTCCCCAGTGATGATGCGCTTCAAAAACGGATCATTTTCGTGACGTTTGAGAAGCGAATCGCAGACGTCAATGCGGCGACACAGATTTCTCTCTGTGAGAACATGGGGAACCCATACATCGAGCTTCGAGGATAATCCCAGGCCTTTCAAGTGGTCATAAACTGTTGAATTTGATAAATTTAACCTCAATCCGATCTCACGTGTTGTTATTCGCCGGTTCACATCAACTAATGCCTTTATCGCGTCTTTATCAGCTTCAACCGGCCTTCCCGAACGTGGTGCATCTTCGACATCAAAATTGCCGGATCGAAATTTAGCGAACCAGTTCTGGCACTGGCGTACTGTCAACACACCTTCTCCATACACATCAGTCAATTTCTTTCTGGCTTGAACAGCATTTTTACCCTTTCTGTAGTAAAACAGTAAGATATGTCGAAAATGCTGCTTATCGCTCTCCATATTTAAAAGGGCACCAACCAAAAACTACTGCGTAGAATTAATTGGAATTTTTCACACACAAGCCTTGCTATATGAGCTCTCAAAGCATATAAAAATTATACGGCTTAAATGTGAAGTTGGGTGCAAAAGAATACAATTAAATCCTCTGTCGGGAAAAAACGAAATGACTTTCCGAACAACCCTGTAGTACAACTTTTGTGTGATTCAAACACGGACGCAAAACGCAAATAAATTAATATTGAACATGGGGGTCATTTTTGGGGGCCAATACAAAAATTTACGTTTTGCAAACTGTACCTTGTGACATATCAAATGAAAGGGTTTATTGTAAGGGTCTCAAATATATATAACCTTAAAATACATAGTTTTATTTATTAAAATTGACTATTCCCCTCCCCCTTATCTCCGAAACTACTGATCCTAAAATTTAAAAAAAAATACGGAAAATAGTTCATTACTTATAGATTGCAGGGGAATTAATAAGAAGTCTATGGGCTGAACATAGCATGGTAAATCATTCAACAAAACAATATTGTGCGTACAAATTTACATTTGCAGTTTGAATGTAAGGGAAAACATTTTTTTCAACTACAATATTAAGTTGGTTTTCGGTTTAGGATTCCGTACGTCCGAATGAAAAACTCGTGTGTCTGTCATTTTTCGGGTGAAGGTTACGTTGTAGTTAGAAAATTTGTTCTGCATATTTGACAGAGCTGTAATACCTGAGTTTGCTGTTTTATTTATATGTTATTGAATTGTATGTTTGGAAAATTAGCTCATTGAAAACGGTAGAGAAGGGGTTTAGTAAAAAATTTGTTTTTGACCTAGCGTTCCATAAAAACACCTATACTAAACAGAAAATATCGAAGTACCGTGTAATTACGCTAATGACTCATGACATTGTTCGTCGTCATTTGAAATCGTTTTTTGTATACAAAACACTAGTGTCAGGTTAATGTAAATAAGTGAACATATAACATATGTATGTCTAAACATTATGCGGTAGAGTAACTGAGAAATCTGAAAGAAAGAGAAATGACACCAACAATACACCACTGGTGACAGGAACAATGACGATTCTCATTCTCGAGCAACAAAATTGGGAGGATTTGCCAGGGATTCAAATAAGATAAAATTTAAAACAACAGTCGTAAAAATGATGTGCTTTTAGAAACAACGCATCCCGCGCAGTAATAAAAATATTTACTGTCTTCAAGATAACAGAATTAACATACAAATTATGGGCATACTTAATGAGTTGATACTATGAAAATATTTGTTGAGAAAACTGATGTTACCTGTTAAAACATCTGCAACGTTACCACTGTAGAATAAGCAAAACTGAATTTTTTTTTGCTAAAAATTTAGTGTTAATTTAACGCTCTTTTGGAAGCTTCACTTCACCTGCCAATTCTTTGCATTTTTTTGATATATACATACGCTATGTAAAGGTATTTGTGTGAATTTCGTTAATGAACAATTTCTAAGGATTATATTATATCCTTCTGTGATAGTAGAATGTTTAATAGAAATTCCGTTTGATTAACCATTTTCTCCCACAAACAAATGAGAAAATTCCGATAACAAAATCAAACGGTAAGATTCAAGGTATAGGTATACGGTATACATACGTACGTACTTCAAAGCCGTTCTGTTTCCTAATTCGATTAAGCTTCGAAGTATTCCTTTTGTTTGGTAATTAGGAAAACCTTTGCACTTGCTAATAGTTCCGACAACTCTTGCAGGAAGGAATTTCGTTAAGATTTTGCATGATCGCGTGGGGGTGTAGAAAGGGGGGTTTGAATTGATCGCAAAAATCAAAACCCTTTGATGTCAATTTCAGGCACAAATTGAATGGATGAATGCAGACCAAGTAAACTCGAACATAACTTATAACGTACATTAGAATAATACATCAACACCAGTTTGTCGGGGGATAAAGTAACTTGATTTTAACATGAAAGGAAATGCAGTCTAAGACTCCTAGGTACAACTTCTAAAAATACGTATAACTGCTATAAACTAACTCTAGATAAGTTATGTATAAATCGTACATATATATTTTGAGATTGACATGGCAAAATTAACAGGCAAAAATAAATTAACCGTTAAAACTACCCGGGTAACTTAACACAGCTAATTTGCCGATAATTATTATCCAATGCTGGTTTATATTTTTGCCTGTTCATTTTGCCATGTCAACTTTGGGTACGTCGGTTCAAATTTTTTTTATCAAAAGCCAAAATGAAACAAACACTACGCCAACTTTGAATTTATACAATACAACTGTGCTTCTTATTCGATTCCGTTCCCTCGTGGAACGTGGCAGAGAGGGGTGAGTTGCGCCAACTTGATGAGATTTAATTTTGCCATGTCAACTTTGAGAAGAAGTAAAATATGTTTTTGACTTTAAATATAGAAGACCTACAGCTTACAATTTATTTGCCAGAATCTTCGATCTCAAAATTATTATCGTAACATCTAACATAAAATGGTATCACTAGCCGTATTGAGTCGAAGGTGATACCACAATTGCCTAACCCATAAAAAATTTTACCATAAAATCAAGGATATTATTGAAATTTTGAGGTAAAACTAGGTCTATATATTTAAAATCTTGAATTCTACCAAATTAAATTCCGCTGCAAAGTATAGGGACTTGTGAATATCGAAAATGATTATCCCTTTGCTTATTTTGTCTGATACTTCATCAACCACCATAGTAGTAGTGTTGTCAGTGAGATGGCATTTTTTTTTTTGGGATTTTCAGATAAGGGTATTAGTATTTCATTCTTGATGTGTTAAAGTTAATAATTTTGAGAGAAGCTTCGAATAAATTACTTAGAAAATAACAACACTTGTTTTTATTTCCTAGCCCATGCAGATCTGTGATTCTGTTTAGTCTTAATTGAGACTTTAATTGTGTTTGTTATTCACGCTATAACAATATTCTATTCAGAATTGACAAATTGTTCATTTCATTGCAAACCAGTGTATTTCCTGTAACTTTTAATATTCCTACAATCAAGCAGAATTGTTCAGTTTGTGACTGAAGCTTTTCAAAAGGTTTTTCACGAACAGTGGATGTGTACCTACCGTAAATTTTGGCCGGTCGGTTCATATTTTTTTATCAAAAGCCAAAATGAAACAAACACTACGCCGACTTTGAATTTGTACAATGCAACTGTGCTTCTCATTTGATTCTGTTCCCTCGTGGAACGTGGCAGAGAGGGGTGAGTTGCGCCAACTTGATGAGATGCCACACATAGCAATGGGGTAGTAATATTTCCTTCCCTCGAATCCCCGAAAGGGCGTGACAACTGAACGAAAACAGAGAATTAGCCCGAGACTGTGCCCATAGAACTTACGCTGAAATAAATAGGGTTGTAGCGCATTTCAACCATTTCTAATACTACCCGGATTACTAGGGTAGTTTGAGGTCGAAAGGTGTTATATTGAAAGTTGATTACTCTGCATGGCGCTCCCCTTTAATATCGCGCTGTGGAATCCACTAAACACGTCTTTAAAAAATTAATTCCAAAAAGTAATCTTTTACCATTTAGTTGTAAATGTAAAACTGTTGGATCTAACCTTATTATCAAATGGGGCTAATGCGAAAAAGGCGCTAACAAAATGGTTTCTTTTCAGGTTGTGGTAGAAGCGGGAGCTTCGGCTTTGGAATATGGAGATATTGTGGTTGAAGAAGGATCTACTGTTAATCCTGATCTACATTTTGATCCTCAACAAATGCACTTGTACGTCATGACAGAACGAAAGGTAAGATACATATCTTTTTGCTTCTTGTTTACCTCATTCTATATTTCTTTCTATCTTTAAGTCACATTATATGTGCTTACATCCAAACTGATGTGTGCGTTTTTGAATTCTTTACCGTTGCAATTACCCATGTGTAAAACCAAGCTTCGTTCAACAATTTATTTAAAGCTAAATATCTTCTTTCTGGTCTTCTTCTTTAGTGTTTTCTTGATGTGATAATATATATTTGATTTATGTCTTGAACTTCTTCGCCGTTTGATTTAGTGGATTCTGTTTATTGGTTAGTTCGTCGAGGATTTTGTCATTGCTAGATTCTGTTTGTTCTCCTTGGTTTTCGGATCTTTTTTGAAATATTGGTTTATTTATAGATTTTTCCTTTTGATATCTGTGTCCTTTATTTATTTTCAAGATTATCATCCCAGATCTAAAGATGTTGTGACGCGGCTCGCAAGTTCGCGACCAATTCTTGACTTATGCATAATATAAATAAAAATGGTTCTCATCTATTGTTTTGATTAAGATTAATATCAAAATTTGATCAAAAATAATGTGCTTTCATCTGACAATGAGTTATTAAAGATTAATAGTGCCCAACTGTATTAATACAGCCACATTTAATTCGAAATACTCATATTGTTTGACAAGTGAGACAAGATGTTAAATATACTTTAAAATGTAGGGATGAGTTACAGAGATAGAAGAGTGATAATAAGTTTGTATAAAGAGCAACAGGCAGTTATAGAGCTGGGGCTGCAACGTAGAGAAGTAAATATTAGGAAGGGAGTCAGGCAGGGATGCACACATAAAAAAAAAACAAAAATACTGGTATGCAAGGGAAGAAAAAGTAGTGAAAGAGCGAATATAAAGACAGGAGACGAAAAATTAAAAGTGGCTGTTTTTAGGTATCTAGGAAGTCAGATAAGTCAGGACGAAAGGAGTAGTAGGGATATAAAGTTAGAAGCGTTCGAAATGTGGTGTTACGGGGTTAGAAATGAAGAGATATTAGAAAGAATAGGAAAACGGAGGACTCTATGGAAGTCATTAAGAAATAGGCGAGATAGGTTGGTAGGACACCTTCTCAGGCATGAAAGTCTAGTCAGAGACATATTAGAGGCAGAAACGGGAGTTAGAAAGGGTAGAGGTATACCTAAATTAGATTACTGTTCGGAAATAGTCAAGGATGTGGGTTGTTCTAGTTTTAGGAAAATCTCATGATTAGGATAGTGGTGGTGCGTGTCCAACCAGTCTTAGGACTGACGACCTTATGATGATGATATTGTTCGACAAATTTCCTGGTACATATTCGCATGCGTACGGTACCTAATTATAACTTTATTATTTTTTTCTTTTTTTGCAACTCCAATTTTTGAAGGCACGAACCATCACTGGATTTTCATTGTCAGATGTGCCCACTAAAAATAGACATTAATTACGCTATTCTTGTTTATTAACAAATACAAGCGACGTAATATGTATTTAGCATAAAGCTAATTCATTTTATGCTTAATTAATTATTATTTGTCGTTAGTGTTTATTGAACAACCAGTGCATAAACGGATATTGCAACTGATAGACAAACAGCAATATCCGCCGTGAGTTGTTGTCATACTACTCGACAAATGAAAATTACCACTAAGTTCCATGCATCTCCTGTTATAATGCACATACATATAGCACTAGTAAAATGATTATTAAATTCCAAAAGTACTCGACCTGGGCATGTGCATACTTGGCGCTTGATATTTATTTGTATTAAACTGAATTTCGATCTCTAAACTTGGCTCATTAAAAAACTCTCAAACTCAACGTCATAACACAACAACGTATACTTTTCGGAAATAAATTTACTTCTTCAGGGATTCTCTTCAGTCCTTGAAGAAGCTTTTCAGTGTTTACTACAACGCTGTCGAAGTTTTCGAAGACTCTAGACTTGGCTCATGTAGAAGTAGTAAAACAGTCTTTTTCTTACAATAATAAGTAATCCATTCATAAAAGCCATTTTCAAAAACAGATTAATGGTCATTCTCTTCAGTCCTTGAAGAAGCTTTTCAGTGTTTACTACAGCGCTGCCAATGTTTTCGGAGACTCTAGACTTGGCTCATGTAAAAGTAGAAAAACAATATTTTTCTTGTATTAATAAGGAGTCTTTTCGTAGAAGCGATTTTTAAAAAAGGAGTCATCCTCATTCTCTTCAGTCCTTGAAGAAGCTTTTCAGTGTTTACTACAACGCTGTCAAAGTTTTCGAAAACTCTAGACTTGGCTCATGTAGAAATAGTAAAACAGTCTTTTTCTTGCAATAATAAGTAATCCATTCATAAAAGCCATTTTCAAAAACAGATTAATGGTCATTCTCTTCAGTCCTTGAAGAAGCTTTTCAGTGGTTACTACAGCGCTGCCAATGTTTTCGGAGACTCTAGACTTGGCTCATGTAAAAGTAGAAAAACAATATTTTTCTTGTATTAATAAGGAATCCATTCGTAAAAGCGATTTTCAAAAAAAGATTCATCCTCATTCGCGTGTAGAAATGTATGGCACCCTGAGGTCACTGCGGTTGTGTGTGATGTAATACAAAGCAAGCAGCGTGGAACAGTTGTTTTTAAAAAGTCTTTCCTGTTCGATGGGATTTATTAAACATTATGTGTAGACGGCATGTTTTAAACGACCTTTAAGATGGTATTCAAGAAGTCGGCAAGACTGTTGAACAGTAATTTCACCAAGAGGTTAATACCGTCTGTACAATGTACATCGGTATGCGTTCTCTCCTTATCTTACAACCATATTTTACAAAGCCGGGGATAAGTAGGTTAGACACATTGCCAGCGGCGGGTTCTTTGAAACAATAGGCAAGAAATGAATCAAATATGGGCCCATTTCTTTAAACTATTACATATTTAAAGACGAACAATTACATTTCTGATAAATCAGTTTGTCGGAAAAGAACAGTAACTTATGTGGTCAATTTGTCATTGTCTACGCCACTGCACGAAAAGCATGTTTTATTCGTCGACACAATGTATGATTATGTATAAATTGGCAGAAAGAGTGCAAATGTTGAACATATAGTTTGAGAGCCAGCTGGGCAATAAGAAGACAAACTCGTCGAGCTGCCTTGAAGGCCATACCTGAGTGTAACGGAAGGCCGTGTGATACCAATTATTTATTGCATGTCGACCACCAAATTCTGTATTATTTTTAATCTCGCACATTCTCGCTAGACCATTGGCCTTTCCTATCCCAAAATACCATAATAAAAACGAAAAAATCTTACGATAGTCAATAAATTTCAAAATGAAACTTCCCAATGTCCTAAAATGGGTTTATTTTTAATTGTCTTATAGTTTGTTTCAATCTATCCTTTCTTAAAAAATACGTGTAGAGTATTCTCCTTTGTCAGTCGACAAATAATAAACTCTCTCTCATTCGGTTCTTTTAAAGCAACGTCCTTTATATTTAGAATGAAAGGTGATTGGATGAATTCGATACCGTAGTACGTCGGGGTCAACTTATCAGAGGGATCTTTTGATATAAGACGAACATTACTTATCGATTAGCCTCTATTGTAGCAACTTTACCCTTAGAAATAAAGATTTCACCACTGACGCCTACACACTTTATAAGTGATATTGACAAAAAAAGCTATATCGTAATTAAGTATAAATTACGCAAACGCTGTCGTGTAATTTAATTAATAACATCGTATTATTAATGTTTAAAGTAGTTACGTACAATGAAAAACCATTGCATACTTTAAAAATTACTGTAGATGTAATAATTTTCTATCGTATAGATGTTTGGGTGTTTTAGTCGTGATGAGAAATACAGTCAAAAATTTAATGAAATTTTATTTCGTTTTTTCTTTAAGGCCAATGACGTTCATTTCTATAACCGATAGTTTTAATTTGTTCACGGTATATGACGATCTAGCGTTTTACTGCATACAGAACTTTTGCGTTTGAAATTGTAGAACCATGTCTTTTGGCGTAAAAGAAAACAACAATTCAGATAGTAATTTTTAGAATAATGTATTAACCTGATCCCTAGGGTAATGTTTACTGACGATGAGTACAGAAATTGAAAATTATTGTTTCTCAAAAACTTCCTTTGAACTTTTTATTCAAATTTCTTACACGAATACTTCTTTTTAACCGACGAAAAAAAGGTTCTCAAGTCGACGCGTATATTTTTTGTTTCGTATGTATGACCACGCATTACTTTTTACAGAGTAGACCAATTTTGATAATTCTTTTTTTATTGGAAAGGGTGTACTTTGAAGTTAGTCCCATATAAATTTGGAAAAAAAATTCCAACCCTAAGGGTAAGAAAACAGGGGATAATTGTTGATTGTTGTTCACTCACTGATTGTAATGTATGACCATGCATAACTTTTGACAGAATAGTCCGATTTTTATGATTCTTTTTTTATCGGAAAGGGAATACCCCGAAGTTGGTCCCATATAAACTTGGAAAAAAAATCTAACTCTAAGGATAGGAAAACAGGGGATGATTTATAGTGGGAAAATAATAGTAGTAGTAGTAGTAGTAATTAGTAGATTATAGCCACAAAAAATATAAAATAAACTGTTTAACAAAAAAATTAAACCACCTAAAAAATTGAAAAGCAAAAAATACTAAACCTTAATAACAAAGTTCTTCAACTGATGTAAGTATACCTAAATAATTTTGAGTCGGTCCTAAACAATAAATAAACAAAGATCTCTAAATTAGCTTAATTTTATAGAAATAACCAAATTAAATTAACAATGCAATAGTTATTTGAATGAACATTCATTTCTATAACCGATAGTTTTAATTTGTTCACGGTATATGACGATCTAGCGTTTTACTGCATACAGAACTTTTGCGTTTGAAATTGTAGAACCATGTCTTTTGGCGTAAAAGAAAACAACAATTCAGATAGTAATTTTTAGAATAATGTATTAGCCTGACCCCTAGGGTAATGTTTACTGATGATGAGTACGAAAATTGAAAATTATTGTTTC